GCCTTGGCAGTCCCCTTTGATAATTCTCGATCGTTGGCACGCTGATAAACTATATGAAAAAGGTTGCCGACCCCTGTGCCTATCCCATTTCACAAAGCATTCATCTGAAATCGAAGCCTTTCATACTTCAGATTCTGTGAAGTGTGAGAGCTGGTAATTGTCTTCGGAGCTGTTGATAACAGACTGCCTCAGCTCTAATGAGTAGAGATTCTCAAAGGACCAGGGGGGTAAATGCAAATTGTATTTAATACTGGCATTCAGTCGTCCATGTAATATCAGGTTCTCCCTTACGCCTCTTAACTGGGATGCAGAAACAAAATACCTTAAGGTTTAGGTTAATTATTGTAATAACCAATCTGTTAATTTTCCTAAAAATCACAGGACTTGCGATATTTCAAGTCCGATAAGACATCCCGGGGGATTCTGCAGGAGGGCTGGAGGGACACCCAGGAACCTGTCATGTGCTCGTACAAGCTGGTCACCGTCAAGTTCGAGGTGTGGGGACTGCAGACTCGTGTGGAGCAGTACGTGCACAAGGTGAGAGTTCACCTACAAGTTAAATGCTAGATCTTGCATTGTTTTTAACCTTGGCTGTAAGTTGCAGAAATAAACCTTTGCATCTGTACTTCTTTGCTTGGCTAAATTAATTTAATTTGGTCCGATCCCCCAACCCAGGTTTTTCTAATCTTAAAACCCCAAGACTAGATGGTTTTTAAGAACAATATGAAGCATTTGTCACTATTTGCTGAGCGTCACTGTGTTGTGTTGCAGGTGGTTCGGGATGTGCTGCTGCTTGGACACAGGCAGGCTTTTGCCTGGGTGGATGAGTGGATCGGTAGGTCTATCAGACTTCATCCAGCTAATTTACTGCAACATCACACATTTCAGTCATTAACTATTTTTTATACCAAGTTACCAAGAGACATTCCAAACACAATGTCATTAACGTTTCCCATATAAACAACATATATTTATAATTTAAAACATTTCTTTATTGTTGTTATTACTTTTCTTTGAAATGTAAGCACTGTTATAGCTAATTAGATTTGATAAATCACCGTTAATAAATGTTTATTTACAAGTATGCATGAAAAATCACTCCACCTGCATCTATTTTATCCCTGCTGGCCGTGCTCATTCTTCTACAGCATCTTGGTACCGTGACTAATCCCAGAATGAAAAACTGTTTTACATGAAACATGCATCCTAAAGTATCACCCTTAATCACACTATTTCATGTTTGAGAAATTAGTATATATCATTTGATGTACAGTTTAGTACGAGTCAAGAGATTCTCAGTGATATATGTTTAATATTGTTTTTTTTTATCATTTTATCTATATTTAATTTTAAAGCTGAATATAAATTCAAAAAAAAACTTTAAACAAAATTGCGGCAATTTCTTCTGAAATGATTTGAAGAATGATGCACTTTTTGAAAACATGAAAGCTTACTGTGTATGGTTCCCTGAGAGTCTGGTTACACAAGAGGTAGCCATAAGTGGCTGCAACACATTAACCCACTTAGCTGTTGAGCTTTTTCCATAGCTCTAGGGCAAAAGGATAACAAGCCCTTTATCTTTTCAATGAAACATACTCCTCGCCAGTGGCGGATTTAGGATCGTAGGAGATCCGGGGCTTAGCCCAGAATTTTGAAGTTGTTGAGCGGGGGGGGGAGCATAAAGCAGACTCTTCACGCTAACGAAGGATTACTTCTTCTTGAGGGCAGGGAAGGCTAAGCAGTACGCAGGCTACTGTCCTGCAGCTGCTGCCTCTCTGACTCCGGTACTGCACATTACTCATGAGACGTGAAAAATTGCTTCAAGTGAAACATTCGGGGCTTTTCAGAAAACATCCGGGTCTTGAGCCCAAGTAGCCACCCCCTAGCGCTGCCACTGCTCCTCGCCTCTCCTGCCTTCAATCACTAACCTTTACCACAACTCCCAACAACCAGGATGCTTGAAATACTCCCTTCTCTTCTTGCCCAGATACAACAAAAGTCTTACTTTTATGTTTTTTGGGCATTTTATACTTTCCTTAACCTTGAAACATCCTTGACCTTCCTTTCTCCCTCCTTCCTGGCTTGGATGTAGCTCTCTCATCTACACTCTCTGGTTCATGGGAAACTAACGCTTTGACCTCTAAAGCTTAAACTTCAAAAAGCTTTAATCACCTGCTTAACTCCTTTACTGATGCATGCACACGGAATGCACCTTTGCCACCTACACCCTCCTTACCCACGTGTACGTAAACTGGATTGCCATTATTGAGGAGTAAGCAACATTTCGATTCTTGTTCCATCCCTCCTCCCTTTTTCCAGATATGTCTTTGGATGACGTGCGGAATTATGAGAGAAAAATGCATGAGAAAACCAACATTAAAGTTTGGCTTGAGCAGCAAGAGCTTTCCACAACAAACCCATCTTCACCAGATGACATAGAGATCCATGACAAAGCAAGCGTATGTGTCTTTTTTCATAATTTTTCACTCCATTGCCCCTACTTTATCTGATACTTTACCCGGTGAATGAAGATGTCACAATTGCAAAAACGTTTAATCCTTTCTTACATTGAGCGACCTATTCATTAATTGACTGTTGAATATGTAAAGAATACAATATTAAGTCTGCGTGGTTCTCTAAAGGTTTTAAAAGGTATCAAGGAAAATAAATTCAACACCAATAGAAACTACCAAGATTTTGGTAGTTAAAATAACTATATGCAAGCTTTTAAAAAATACTGCTTTTTTTATTATGTTTTTTTTTCATCATTGTTCAGACTGTGATGTGTATTTTTCTGGGTGTGCCTCTGGCTCTAATAATGAAAGAGTTATGAAACAAATCCTTCCTCTTATTGGCTTCTTGTTGATTTTATTTTACATTCCAGACATGACAATGGATGAGGTGAGAGAGTTTGAGCGCACTATCCAGGAGGCTACCAACCAGAAGATCGGGATTTTTCCTCCATCCATCTCCATCAGCGAAACACCCCTGTCCTCCTGTTCCCTTACCGGCCCCGCCAGTGCCCCAACCACCCCCATGTGCACCAATGCGCCTGAGTCCCTCTCTGTCACCAAGGACAGACCCCGCAAAAAGTCTGCTCCAGAAACCCTGACCCTTACCGACCCTGCCCCAAGTGGCGCACCCCAGGGCTCTAACCTGAGCCCACTAGCTGATTCAAACCACCTGGAACCATCCACGCCACCCTCCTCCAACTCTGATGTTGCTGAGACAGACGAGCAGTAGAGGGACCTTGGGATGTCTTCCCCTACACCCAGCTTCATATACCCCCAACCCCATTGTGTTAGTAAACCAATGGGACTCTCCTAACCTACAAACACCAGTGGCCAGATATTCAAGTTCTCTAGCCTTATCCAATTATTTGATCTTGGACACACAAAAGTCATTATCACAATTGTCCACAACAGTGTCACTGGCAGCTGTAGCCGTCCTGATGTGACTGATTTCCTCTTCCTGTGAGTCAAGCCAGCCACATGTCTCATCCATTATAACCAATCTAATCAAACAAAATACATCACTAATTTGTTTTGTTAAGATAATTAATACATAATTCTTAGTGTTTCCTGAATATAGCTTTCTTCAATCAGTCACGGTCTGATTTTAAGCTGTTAAACTAAGAAGTAGTTGCCTTAGCACCACAGAGCCAGTGGCATTTATTATTTTTGGTGATGCCTGACAAACTGTCCTTTTTCATTCTATAAAATTACCATATGTATTAAGTTAGAAATAAAATCACAAACCAGAGAAGGAGAGTAGACCTAATATGTCAGAGTAACACATGCAAGTACCCTCATAACAGAAAGCAACTGTTTCCTGAGCCGTCCAAACTGGCCTGCGGATAAGATTGCACCCATCCATCCCATCCCAAACTCCAATTATACAACAGATGCAAGATCAGTACAATCATGGAGAGCTTACACCTCAGGTATCCCTTACTACCTGGCTCAAACTCAAAAAGCAGGGATATTACTTTACCTTTCTCTCCCTGCTTATTGCCAAACGTTTTATACCTCCACAGATATTAAAATACAACTATTGTATGTACTCTACCAGTCTACTTAACCCTTGGAATGTTTACACATCAGAAACCTTGGAGCATTTGAATATTAGCGGTAACGTTGTTCCTTAAGCTGTTGTTATATCTGCACTTGCGGTTCTAGCATGAAAGTACAATGATCCTAAGATTTAAGTTTTTGACGTTTATTACTGCATATATGTTAGTCAAGTTGACTGAGAGGTCAGTATATATTAAAAGAAAACAAGTTAAGTAAAAAAAAAACAGTTTAATGCTGCCTGAAATGAATGCTGGATATCTCATGTGACATAAACGTGATCCAATTTGATCAAGTCACTTTATCGTCATGTGAAGGAACAAGGCCATTTTGGGGAGTTTTTAAGCATCGACAGATCTTTGTGCACAGTCACAGTAAGTAAGTCAGTAAGGACAACTCAAAACTGGATTTGAGGAGAATGGCATATGCAACAAGCTGCATAGCATTTGTGGAAGTTCTGATCCTTTTAATTTTGCCAGTGCTGGTTTGTGATAATCAGCTGGTGATTTAGTGGGCGCTTTGAAATGGGAACACCCTATGCAGAGCCCTTGTATTTCTGCTGGGCTTATACTGCTAGTTATATATATATATATATATATATAGTATACCCGTCTACACAGCAGCTTTAAAAAAATCTTCCAACGCTTCTGCCCATTCATTTTGAATGGGGTGACGTCACTTTGCCTCGCTTT